TCAAACTTTTTTCAATAATGAATCAAGATCAAACAAATATACATTGCCCAGCAAAGTATTTATTTACAGTTTTGCCCAAGCACATACAGTCATCATGTTCCAAGTATCTCAGCTCCACTTCGCTGAGCTTCCTGTCCAGTACAAGATCACAGGGGACAGTGCAGTCTCCAGCAACTATCCTTTTACTAGCTTAAAGAAGGTAGGAGGGAGGACGGAGAAGGGAGGAAGCAGGAGCAGGAAGCATGGGAGTAGTTTGCCTTTGCTGTGTCTGTGTATTTCTGAATACACAAAGCTTGTTAGTACACACAAGGATGGTGGACAAGGATCCATAGGACCCTGCAAGGGAAATGAGCCACCCTAAAACAGGATATCTAGACCAGCGCTCAGGGGACCAGCTGATTCTGCAGGAAGCTAAAACTTTGAAACATTAAAGTGACACTAAACTCAGGAGTCAAGTCCTAATAATGCATTTAAGTACCTGAACAGAAATGTATTTTATGTGTGTATCACTCGGCTGTAGATCCTCAAATCATCTCTGAATTGGTGCTGACACTGTCCTTCCAAGCTCACTCTTTGATGAACTACAATCTCAATACAAATTAATAAACTAAACATGATGATGTTGTTGAAAGTGATGGGCAGATAGAAGGCAGCACTCACTACATAAAAGGGATTATATCAAAAAAGCTTTGATTGCAATATCGAAAACAATGATATATGTATTCCTACTATAATGCCGATGTTATAACAGGATAGTATATGCTGGGACTTTCTAACTCCTTTACAACAGACAAGTGTGAATAGGCCCTTACAGTTTTTTTAATCGGTTAGTGCAAAGTGCCGTAATTAAAACAAAACACAATTGGGATTTTTTGTTCTTCTCATGTGACAGCGGTAAGTATAGTCTGCTGTGGAATCTTGCTATACAGTGTAGTCACTGCTCTGCTATATAAAGTTAGATCCATAGCATTACCAGTTTTTTTTTAATAGTTTGAGAACTTTCCGAAATAATCACAATAACTTTATTCAATATGCATACTCTTGAAATATTGACACATTGCTCCCCAGGGCACTTGCATGTGGGTTGAAGAGCACTCTGTCCTGGCATGAGACAGTACTACATGTTACTTATGACAGCATTAAAGAAGTAGCAGGGATAGGCTCGCTCTACATGTTTGCTGTCCAATGGTCACAAAAAATATGTACAGTATGTACATCAAATTAAGCAGAATTAAACTGCGCAGTACATAATAACACAAAGGTGTACTCTTTACTGTATTTTGTTGAATATTTCTCTGCTAGTGCTGTGGAGGAGCCCAGTTATTTCACACATATTTCTGGGGGATTGTAGACGGAGTGATGGATCATGCAGAGCCATCAGGAAAAAGGAGACAGTTCTTTCACATCATTACTGACATAGCAGCTTGGCTATAGCCATGGTCTTCCTTTTACACTGTAGAGTTTAATGGCGGCCCATCATGCAATGGATTGTCACCAGTTGTCAGTAATGACATGTCTTCCAGATATGGCAGAACTGTCAGCTATTTTATGAGTAAGTCAGTTGTATAGCTTAGTTAAAGCAATAACGAGGAACAAATATCTCTTTTAAATAACCATTTATATTTATGCAGAATATGTAACAGATACCAATAATAACATGTGGCTTCTGTAATGACCGATACTAATAAATGGACTTTGACCTGGAAATATCAGATGATCACTTAATAGTACACTTGTAATATGTTAATTTTATTCTCCCAATTCAAGAACACCTTTTTTTCAAAGGAAAGAAGCTGACGTTTTAGACCTAATTATTGAAGCCAAAAATTTAACTACAGAGTTTCATAGAAATATTCTGTACAGAGCAGCCTTTAAAGGGTTAATAACAAGCTGTTATATCTATGTCATTGAAAATATGAAAGTTTTAGGCCTCATTCACACTGCCGCGCATATACGCGCGTACATGCGTATTGTACCATATGCAACACATGCAAATAAATGGCTCCATACACATAACCACGTATGGAGACGTATATTTGCGTAGCGTATATATGCGCAAAAACAGAATGGAACCGAGATGCGTCCGGGCAGCGTATTTCTGCGTATTTTACGCACATACACATGTCTGCGCGTATGTGCGTACAGTTCATTAAAATTTCCATTAGGAATGATGCATTCTGGGAATGCAAATAGTGCGCGCATAGACGCTCGTATATACGCGCATAGACGCTCGTATATACACGCATAGACGCTCGTATACACGCGCATAGACGCTCGTATATACGCGCATAGACGCTCGTATATACACGCATAGACGCTCGTATACACGCGCATAGACGCTCGTATATACGCAATATACAATTTTGCTTGCGTTGTGTGTGAATGAGGCCTTAGGAGACAAACAAAACAGAAGATGTTGGAAGCTATAGTTGTATAATACAGAAACACTATTTTCAAACACACACCCAAGTTCATGTCTGTTAATCCCATTAAAAAATAAAAAAAGTTTTCTGTTATTTTGATTCCTTCTTTTCAAAGGTACTGCTTTTCCTCAATTAAAGCCTATCTAAATCCAAGAACAAAAATGTTATATATAGCAGCTTATCAGTGTTACAGGTGATGGCTGCATTAGTGTTTCATTTTTTTGCAGCTACTATGCAATTGAGATAAACAAAGGCAGACATGTTTAAAGTCAAGCCTGTTTCACAATGTCATGGAAATACATTTTAAAGGAGAACTATGGGGGCCAGTGTTTTTCCCCATAGTTCTCCTTAGGGTAACGGGAGGACACAAACTAGCGTCCTCCCGTTACCCTAAGCTCAGTATACCGCGAGCTACAGCTCGCGGTATACTGAGACGCCGCACCTGGAGCGGATCCCGACGTAGATGACGGGATCCGCCCAACTGCGTGAGTGACAGCTGGCTCTGCCTACCTAGAGGCAGAGCCAGCTGTACCCGCCCCCTCCCCTGTCCATTCTGCCAGTCAGCGCTGGCAGATCGGAGCGGGGAGAGGGGAATCCAGCCCCTCCCCCTGTCACGGCAGAGAGCAGTGACAGGATCGAGAGGTGAGGGAACCCGGTATGTTTTCCCTCACCTCCCGATCTACTGAGCCGACCTGTGACAGTCTCATTGTCACAGGTCGGCTTAGAACTATGAGGTGAGTGGAAATCACTCACCTCATAGTTCTCCTTTAAAGTGCAGGTGCAAATCACCTGCTAGCACCATTAACCAGTGGGCTCAAATTATGATAGCATGTTGCGATATAGGAGACCAACACACACACACACACAACAAAGTCTGCTATATGATGGTCTGATTTATTACAGCACATTAAGGTTTTATACGATAATACAGAGAGAGAAGGTGGAAGGGGGATGTGTGGAATGTTATGCAGAGTTAACAGATAATATAGAAGGTCAATAGAAAGCTACAAGGCTAAATTTATAGGAAAGGGATGGTGAAAACACTCCTGTGCAAAAGTTCAGTCTTCACTTGAAATGAACACACAGTTCTTTTATATAAGATGGATGTTCTTGTGCATTATATGTACATCAAGTGGATTTCTCTTTTTGATAGTCTTGATAATCTGATGTTTGTGATTTTGATAAGTTGATTTTATCTTTTAAAGCCCATCTCCTGGTAACAAAAAACTACCCTTGCAGTGGGGCTACCCCTGCACTGGAAGGGTTAACTGCTCGTTAATGTATAGGGGTGCTCCCCCGGCGGTTGGTGCTCACCTCTCTCTCCTACATTACAGCTTGTGCACTGTCCTTGGCATCCTCGCATATAATACAGGGCTAAGGGCTGTGCATTGTATGTGATGATACCAGTGTGCCTTTGACCGCTGGAGAGGAGGGGAAAAGAGGCTGCAGGCTCCAGCCTTGGAACCAACAGGAGTGGGATCAGGTAAGTAAATGTCCTTTATAAAGATCCCCCAGACATTAACGTGCAGCTAACTCCATCAGTGCAGGGCCAGCCCCACTGCAGGGGGACCTTTTTTTTTTTAACTGGAGATTGATTTTAACCTGTCTAGGTGTTTTCTATAAGAAAGCAAATCTTCAGTTTTTGAGTTTGCTTTAAACTTCTTGTTTGTTCTGTATCTGTGCTCTATAAACTTTTGTTGTGGTTCTGGCCTGGATGGTCATGTAGTTGGTCAAGTACATGTATAGCTGCCCATACACCTTACAACCTTTGCACGACTTTCGTTGTGCGATGGTTGTAAGGTAATTAAAGTTTCGTACGATCTGCCCATCTTGGACAGGCAGATCGTTCTTGTGATCATTGCAAGCCCTCCCCGCTTCCGATGAGGGCTTCCGATGATTGCAGTACTGAGCGGGCAGTGTGCGTTTGCGCAGACCGGCCTGTGCGACATTCGTCTCCCGAGCACGCCACTAACCCGCCGAAAATCGTACGATTTTCGGCAGGTTGTCAAGCGTGCTTGGAAGACGAATGTCGTGCGACCGTACAGTAGAAGAGGTCACACGCTGCCCATACACCTGCCGATTAGCGTACGATCGTGGGATCACCCGCGATTATTGTACGATAATCGACATGTGTATGGGCACCTTAAGAAGGATTTCATCTGTCCACCCACTGTTTCTCAAGTAAGCAGCACACCTATCTTCATTAGATGAGACGTATGCATGTCGTCTGTCATAAAAAGCAAAATCCTGTATTTTATAACATTTTGGATTTGTTAACAATAGTATTTTGTTTATTTGCATCTGAATACCTCTACCCACATTGTGTATTAATGTTTTTTTTGCTATTATTAAATAGCAATGCATATACAGTAGAAGTATAAAATTACTTCTTTTTACTAAGGGTGGATGAATTTCTCTGTACCAGAGGTATTGTTGTCCTTCTGACACCACCAGTAACACTTTACACAAAGGGGAAGAATTGCTTTAATTGTGCATTTGTACAATGAATTAGTTGTCCTTTGTTATACTGGAATTAAATTGACCTCACAGAATAGGGTCTGCTTTATCTTCTTGCAGAAACTGTGAAGATCTGTTTAGCAATGAAGATTGTGAGATGTTGTACCAGTTCGTATATGCTACACACAGGCCACTGGCAACAGCAGCTGGAGAGTTTTTGTACACAAGGTAATTGAAATCCACATTGTTTGTGCTGAATGTTACCATAGCTAACAGTAATGAAAATATGGATACTTCTATTTAAAGCTGAACCCATCCTATTCTGAGTTGGAGTACTAGTAGTTGAATCATATCACTGTTCATGTTCCTCGTATGTATCACCTATAGCAGGGCTGGATATATCCCAGGATCCAGGTAGTCAATGCTCCTGAAAAATGACAGCTGGCGCCTAACTTTTGAGGTTTTATCTAGTTGTTGTCAATGGAGCTGGCTCCTAAAATAAATCCTGCTGTTCTGGGATTGGACAGAGTGGCTCCTGAATTCCATATTAGTTTGCCCATCCCTGTTATATAGTTCTCTAAATTGTGTGCCTGCATTCCAAGGGCCGCTTGGAGCCACATTAATGAGGAGTTAAGGGAAAGTATAGCACCCTATGTGAAATACAAGGACTGTCCCATGGTACTATATTGTACCTGCACACCCTGAACTGATGCCCCGTTTTGCTGCTAGGACCAGATTGCAGACCAGTGAAGGAAAAAGATTCTGACTGGTTTGTACTGGTAAAAGTATTTTGCTTTGTTTCTTGCACACGGTCTTATTTTTCTGCTGCTCATTCCGGTATCTCTTTTTGTGTTTTTATTTTTTATAATGTATTTTGCTGTGTGCACGTCAAATGTGTCATCACCAATTTTTAGGGAGACCGTACGGCGTGAGAGAAAAGGTTTGTAAAGGAGTTATAGTGGCAGTGATCTCTAGCTGCATGCAAAATGCCCGCTGCACATGCCATATGTCTCCTTTAACATCTCTGCAGCTTATCTTAACAGCTGTGCCTGTAGTATGTCCACAGCCTCTGATCTGTCTTCTAGAGCAGCATTTCTCAATCTTTTTTCAGGCACATCACCCTTTAAAAGTATGCAAAATCTCGAGTAAATGTACAAAAAAAAAGTAAATGTAGATATGTATCAGAGTCTGCAGTCCCCCTTCACATCACAGGCCCAGTCCCAGCGCCCCTGTGCAAAAGTTTCCAGGCAGCCCAGGGGGCTGGAGCACCCTGGTTGAGAAAGGCTGTTCTATAGTAAGTCTTCTGTAGCACTAGAGATGCTGAATATTATTTATGGCTCTTTGGTAATTTTAGGGGATCCCCATATCTAAAAGCTTCACCACCATGGGTCTAAAAGGACACAGGACACATTTTCTCAAGTGCCAGATTTTTTTAAAGGAGATCTAAATGCATCAGCATCACATTAGCTACTCAGAAGAAGCATTGTTAAATAAATAAAACGGCTATGTTATTATGCTCCAAAACTGTTCTTACTTTTAACAACAGTTCATATCACTGTCTCTTCTGAGTAGCAGCTTCTGCTGTTTTTTGGTGCTGCTGGGTCAGCTTAATCTGGGTTGTGTGCTACAATGCCTTGCACCTTATGTCACATGCAGCTGGGCTGCAGGCTGTAGGAGGGGCTCGCAAGTAGATGGATGGGGACATAGGCGGGACATTAGGGAGGAGGTGTGTAGCTGTGAGGGAGTAGTGAAAAAAACTGTGTACTAGTTTCTGACATGTTGGCATGTTTGACAACAATGGAAGATATTAGGACAGGGAATGAAATGTTGACAAAGGCATACAGGAAATGTATGGGATTGTGATTCTCGACATCTATCCAAAGTTATTAATGGGGACTAAATGGACATAGAAATTTAAAGCTAAAACGTGAGAGATGTTAAAATGGCAAGCTGAGGCAAATGTCAGAAGTGCCAAATGTCAAAGTGCATATAGACAAATACAGCATAGGTCTGGTTGTCTAATTAAAAATGCAAATCAGTACAGTTTGCATCAGGAGACTCATAAAAGCTCCACTTTGCAGAAAGCTTAGACACCGTAATTATCCTTGTTTATAATTAGATAAAACACGGTTGGCTTGCATGCTTTCTAGACAAACTACTCTGCATTCTACTCTGAAGGGTTACCCCATTCTCTGGTCTGCATTTTGTTTGCCATTTATGAAATGCATGCTGTGGTATGGAGCCTGTGGTGTTCTGCAGTGTTCTCTCTGCTTAATGCAGAGCAGATAGATCTCAGTGATTGGAGGAGAGCTGGTCACATGATTTTGACAGGTCCGGTGACCGTTTTTTATTTTCCTTATTAATTTATATATCACTCTGCTTGCCTTGGGGTCCCGAAGCCACCAGAGCGCAATGGACATTTGTAAAGCACACCACTGTGTCTATAAATGTGAATATGTATAAATGTAGTTTTCTTTTTTTATAGCAGCGGTATGACTACATACATACTGCTGCTTTATAAACCCCTAAGCAACATAAGAAACTGCTTTAAATTACCCAATACTCTACTGTGACAACAAATTAAAGTGACACTAAACCCAGGAGTTAAATCTCAAAAATGGATTCAAGTACCTTAACTATTAATGAAAATGCATTTTATTTGTACATCACATAGTTATAGAGCCTCAAACCATCTCTGAATTCTTCTGTGTTTTAAAGTAATCCACACTCGCTAACCCATGAGGGACTAAAATACCAATACCAATTAGTAAACTAAACATGAGATTGTAGTCCATCATGAGAGTGAGCTTGGAGCTGTGGCTACTTTACAACACACACAGGGGCCATGAGGAACAAAAGTAGCCCCATCCAGAAGGAAGGACAGTGTCAGCATGAATTCAGAGATGATTTGAGGATCTACAGCTGAGTGATACACAAATAAGATACATTTATGTTAATAGTTAAGGTACTTGAATCAATTTTTAGGATTTAACTCCTGAGTTTAGTGTCACTTTAAGATCTCAAGTTTTAAGGCGTTTAAAATGCAGAGTACATTTTCTTACGCATGGCTGGGTTATAAGTCGTTAGATTGGTGACACTGATTTGCAAAACAGAATTTTCCATCTTTGTGATTTCTCAGAGCAGATTAGGGAGTAAAAGGTAAGTCCTGACTGGTTCCAACAGTCTTATTTTTCCTTTGTTCCAGTTGTCATAGGTGATTCTAAATACATAATTAATGGGTTCATGAGACAGAAAGCTAAGGGTCATGGTCAGCTCTAATACACCTCTTCTATGAATTGCAGGTATCTGATCCCAGTTGTCAGAGGAGTAGGTTCACAGAAGACAAGAGGATGTGAGCACAATGTAAGGCTGTTAAGAAAGCTGCTGGATTTTTTCCTTCAAAGTGAGGTATGATATAACTGGTAGTGCATTTTATAGCCTTCATTCATATATGGCAATTTTATTCTTTTTTTTTTTGTTCACATTTTCGATACGTTAATTGAGGATGTGTTATTCTACTTGTTGAAAAAGAAAAAAGTGTAATAAAGCAGGGACTATTGGGACCATTTTATGTTAAAATTAGAGTTTCAGTTTCCTTCATTTATATCAAGGTTTTAACTCCATGTTGCTTATAGGTATGTTGTGGCAACGTCAATAGCATCATAAAAATATTCCTTAAAACATACATACTGCATAATGCAAAGTTTCAATAGTGTCCCAGCTTATTACAAGCATGGATTAGTGGAATAAAAAGTATGTGGGTAAGAATATGATGCCTGAACAGGTGGTGTAGTCATGTAAAAATCTAAGTGTGGTTTGGAGATGACTAGATATGGCACTGTAAAAAGGTAATAGAGGAAAAGGAGACTCAGTATGCAAGAAAGAGGTGGGCGAAGTAAATAGGGGTTAAGAGGAATAGATGGGGGTTGAGGGTGGGGAAGGACCTAATGAGAAAAGTGGGGAAGGACCTGGATAGAGTCTTTTATAAGAGGTTGGTTATATTCTTGAATCAATGCAGATACCAGCTGCACACCATATAGCGCTGTTGGTGGGCTGGTGCTGGTTGTGACAACATTAGATGACACCGTGTTATATCTCAGGATAATAGAAGATAAGTCACCAGCACTAACTGAGCAGTAACTGAGAAGTAACTGAGAATATTACACTGTTCAGTACTGGGCAGTGTGGAACTATTATGGATCATGATGAATTATTTGCTGTTGAACTCAATGTGGGATATCTGTACACTACTCTTTGGAATCTTAGCTGAATTCCATTTTCTCTACCTCCCACTAACCCTGTAGGCATTTCATGAACAAGAATGTAACCAGTATAATAAAAGATAAGTCACTAGCACTCAGATGTTCAAGATGCAAACCTAATCTGGTTTATTGTGACTATGTCACAAAGGTCATAATGCCAGTGTGCTGAGTGCTAGTGCTCCCAGTGCTAGTGACTTATCTTTTATTATACTGGTTACATTCTTGTTCATGAAATGCCTACAGGGTTAGTGGGAGGTAGTGAAAATGGAATTCAGCTAAGATACCAAAGAGTAGTGTACAGATATCCGACATTGAGTTAAACAGCAAATAATTAATCATGATCCATAATAGTTCCACACTGCCCAGTACTGAACAGTGCTTTGTTGTGGGATATATTCAGTTACATTTAACTCACAGGGGAAAATACTATCTCATCTTCCATTCAGTAGATATGTCTGCACTCTGCAGTAGTGACTCATTATAAAGAAGAGTTTTATACTTCATAAATGGCCCAAGAAATGTCAGATGGGTCTGGAAAGTGGCATGTAACAGGAGTATGCAGCATTATGAGATATGACTTGCCTCTAGAGGTTGTGTCAAACACCATCTCCAAGCGTGTAGAGGAGTTAGAAAATGATCTGTGTGTGGAAAACATAAGCGCTATTCTGGAGCTGTTCACATTTATGGAACAGAGTAACTAGAAGGAGATTTCCAATAAAGATTTATAAGCGTTCATATGATATTATATATCTAAACACAAAGTGTAATAATACATTGCAGCTTACCAGTCTATAGATGTTGTGGCTGCTTTTTTCAAGCTTCCCCCATTTTTTTTTTTTTTTTAGCTTATTCTAGTTTATTTTTAGTTGCTTTTTATACTCTGTGGTAAAACAAATACAGAATGTTCACAGTAGTAAATGAAAATATGAGTACATACAGAAACAAAGAATTTGCCTGGATTCAGAACCCCTCCACCCCCCCGACAAAAAAAACAACAACAAATTCCTACAGAGTTACTTCCCCTTAATATTTACCTGGTAATCCTGCTAGATAACAGAGAACAGGACGAAGTGACAACAGATGGCAAAGGCAGAAAGTACAGGCTGTTATCAGCTCAATATATTTTTGGCAGGATCATCATGTATTTATCCAACAGATATAACAACATTCTTTGAATGAGATATTTAACAGACCAAAACAGTGCATATAAGAGTAGTTCATTGTAAGGGTTTACATGCACTTTAATGTCTCTAGCAACTAAATCTACATAGGTGCCAAACAGAGGCATGAAAACACCATGAAAAGTAAGTTTCTTCTACTGAACAGGTTATTGTCAGGTTATAATGAGGCTTTGTTATGTGGCCGACATTTCTAATTACTAAAAATCTCTTTCCTGTTCAGTTGCATGAGCACATGACATACCTTGTCGACAGTCTTTGGGATTGCACGCCTGGATTTTTAAAGGACTGGCAATGTATGACCTCCATCCTCCTGCAAGATAAGGAAAACATAGCAGGTGAGTTGGCAAATGGAAAACACAGATCAGGATTAATAAAGAAAAACACACTTTACTTTTCTTAGCATTCAGTGTATGGGTGGCTGAAAGAATGAAAGCAGGGAAGGCTATAAAAAAATAAGACCTATTCAATGTCATAGATGTAAAGCCAGTAGACTTATATTGGTCTAGCCTGGTACAATGTTAGTATATATAAATGATTCCTGTCAGGTCCACAGAGATCCTGTAATACACTGTAGTAACCACAGCTACTGCAGAGTATGACGCGTCTTCCCTGCTACAGCTGCTATGCTTCCGTCTTCCCTGTGTTGTTCTTTGTGCTGAGTATAGCGGCCATTCAGAAGTACTTTTCTCAATGAATACTAGACGTTTTCTGATTGGATGAGGGACGGTGCTGTGACATCACCTCCCCACGTCCAATAAGAGAACGTCTAGAATAGAACGATGCTGCAAACGGAAGACACTGTAATACACTGTAGCAGCTGCAGCTACTACAGTGTATTACAGGATCCTTGTCAGGAAGCAGGGGGTGTTACTTCTGCTCGGGGACCACGGCGCAGGGCACGGGTTCCCCTCCAGCCTGGTAGAACTCCTGGTGCCCGGGCCGCGTGCGCATGCGCGAGTCGTGCGCCGGGTGCGCATGAGCGAGTCGTGCGGCGGGTGCGCATGTGTAGTACACAGGCTGTACACAGGTGCGCATCCCCGGAAGTGCGCGCGTAGCGCTCCTGCGCCATTAGGGCCATCAGGTGTGGGCCTTGCTGGAGGAGGTTCCCAGCACACACCTTCCATCTCTCTCGCCTGCCATTGGTTCCCGGGGAGGGAGGCCTCCTGGTTGCCTTGGTGACCGGGGGGTGGTCTTACCTCCCCTGGCTATAAAAACCTGGCCTGAGCTCTGGCTTATTGCTGAGTTATTCCACCCTTTGGTGAACACCTAGCCTCCCTGTTGATCCTGTTGTTACCTGTTGCCCCTTTCGTACTTCCTGATTACTGAACCCTTGGACTGTCTATCGCCTCTGAACCATTGCTGCCTGCCTCGACCCGGACTGGACTTTGACTACTCTCTTGGATTGCCCCTGAATTGTACTTCGTTTTTGGACTTATCGGCCGCTTCCTGCCAGTGGGTTCCTTACCACGCAACTAGTTCGCTGGTACGTCTGACAATCCTTGTGGCCCTGCAACTCACTATTAGTACGAAACTATAATGGCAAGCCAAGAAAGGGAAGTGCAGAAATCGGGGCTGAAATGGATTGAATTGGTACTTGTATAAAACAGCAGCACTCCGTAGCTGCCCTAATGATAATCGAAAGTGTTTGTGTGCGCTTTGTGGTACCTGCATGATTTGCATGGTGCCAGGCTGGAGCCTGAAGCTTAGTACAGGTAAACTTTAAGCGTGTTTATTGTGTTATTGCTGGAAGACTTACATACACAGTAGGGAAAAAAAGACTTGTGCTGCTAAAAGTGTATCACCATATTCCATTAGAAAAAATCTAGCGCGCGCTTAACGTAGACCTGACGTCAAAGAGTTAAATTTGCTATCCTACAGGTAACATCTACGTCTCCTGAAAAAAAACCAATGAACTTCCTGGCAAATGTAAATGCTGTATATCTGCAGTGTGGGACTTTGCTGACTGTAACTGCTAGTCTCATGAGATTTATAGTGAGATTAGGTGATGTCATTAGTGTGTTGCTCACTGTTCTTGCTGGAGAGAAAGCTGTATCTGAGGATATATAGCGCAAGGATCCCTTTGCTTCTGTTTTATTCATTCTGTTGATCAAGGCTTCCTTGACCTTCCCTGCTGCTTCTTAATCAATACCCCACTAGTCATCAGATCACCAGTAACCAGGGGGTGCAGCTCTGACATGAGGAAGCAAGGCCCTGCTCCTTTACTAAGATGGTCACCACCACACAATGATACAGTGCAGAACAAAGCATGGAAAGTCAATAATGGGGAAAAGATCAGCTGCAGGAAGCCTATAGGTAACACTGGTGGCTAGTCCTTTGCGATTCACTTTTGTTTTTTTGGGCACAGCTTCTACAGGTCAATTGACTGACAGGTGGATGCGGAAGTGATGTAATACACATCACTTCTGCATTCACAGCCCGGAGGGAGACCTCTCTCCCTCTTCCTCCTGACGCCCTCCGAGCCGGTCCCGGGCCGCAGATGGGGCAGCGGATCCCGGGATTGCAGGTGAGGTGTCAGGAAAAACGAGCACATATAGACGATCGGCGGGCTATGGAGCCGCCGATCGTCTATATGTTTAACACCCGGTAACGGGTGTTTGCATTGGTTTGGTATTTTCTGCCCGTGCGTGCCCGCTAGGGGGCGGGCGCGAGCAGAAAAAAAATGCCGTCTGGCGACGGCAACCCGCCAACGCAGCAGTGCCGTCCGTCCGTTTTTTTACAACGGGTGGACGGCAAGTGGTTAACTACTTCCAGCGGGTTCACTTAAATCTACGTCATCTGTGGTTATACCAAGAACATGGCTGCTGCTGCAGCCGTGTTCTTGGTACTGTTTTAAACAGCAGACGACTGCTCTTTAAATACAAGCGATCCAGCATCTGTAGAGGTGCTGGATCGCTTGTACGGTGTGCTGCCGTTGGCTACCTGGGCTCCGCTGCCCCCCGTGCAAGCAAGGGACCGGCGTGGTGGGTCTCCCCGGATGGATCGGAGAAGAGATCAGCGGCTTCCAGCCACTGATCTTTCCTCCGATCACTGGACCCAGAAGTGATGTGCATTACATCACTGCCGGTGTCACTGGGCACATTCTCTGGCTCTAGAGCCAGAAGAAGAAGCTGGTGACGCAGATCTCTGCTTCATCAGCTTCTTTGGAGTCCCTAGGTGATATTAGAGGTCTGAAAGACCTGTGATGTCTCCATAAAGAGGACCAGTCACATTATATTTGCTATCGCATATGGGGCTTGATAGCAATAAAGTTGAGTGTACAAAAAAAAAATTGTCAAAGTAACAAATAAAAAAAATGCAAAAAAAGAAGTCCACCGTCCCCCACGTGCACGCACATACAACGCAAACACGCTTTGGATGCGCCTATGTGCTAAAACGAAAAGTGCACCACACATGTTACATATCAACACGAGCGTCCATCTACATCTTCGCCTGTTCTGCCCCTATGTTTGCTGTCTTCTGCAATTTCAGTTGGCCAACCTTGGGTGACATAACTTCCATGTATGTGCGCAGGAGAAAATTAATCTGGGCACCAATACTTGCTGAGATTGTACACTGAGCTGTACTTGCGCATCTCAGTGTATGATATTTAGAAATCTGCTATTGGGCAGATAAGAAGCTTTTATTGCAGAAAAGACTTACAGAGTATCTCCTGAAATAAGTACCTGCTAGAATGTTTTTGTTTTTAGTGTTGATCCTATAGGGTCCTTTGGCCACATTAACATTATGTGTCATTGTTTTCTATGCAATGGCTTTTACTGTCGATCTTATAAGGTCCTCTGGTGGTAAATCCAATCTTTGCTCTCTTGCACAAGTGCACCCCCTTCTAGAATCTCCAGCATCCGACAGTTCTGCCAGCTGCTGCATCAGTCGTGCTCCCCTTTAGAACTGCAGGGACACACTATAATTGTAGCATCCTGCAGTTGGAATCAACGTGCGCGGCAGGGAGACGCAGGCATCTGACACACCCAGCATTGTCGGATGGTGAAGATTCAAGCGCGGCCTGTGGCTTTGGATTCACTTTTAGATGCTAGCTTTATTTATTTATTTGGTGACAGAGTGGCTTTAAAAGATAATGAGTTGAATGATGAGATATGTGGAATGAAGCACAGGTCCTCCTTTCATATTGTTCAGAATAGAAGATATAATTTGTCTTTTCAACTGGCTTCTTGGTTTTCAGGTTTGAACGGGACACAGGAAAACCTTCTGGTGGAGTTAATACTGGCAACAGTCCGAGAGGCCATGGAGGGCCATCCACCTATAGGCAGAGGAGCGGGGAGAAAGGTCTGTTTATAGCACGCATCAAAGTTCCTATAGCAGCACTGGTTGTATAAGTCCAGCAGTGTGACCTTATTATGCATATTTTATGAATAGCAGGAAGGAGAAGTGGAACATGTGCTGTGCCACATTCATCTGTTACCCTAGCTTATGTTGTATATTCAGTGTACATCTCAGACTTATCTATGGATACAAACAGCTGCAATCCTAATTATAGTGCATGCTTCCTTGCGGTTGGTGCATCGTTATGCTTTTATCACTTGGATCATGTTACCTTTACATGTGTGAATTCAGATTGTATTCTTCTTACATGTAACATTGTATGCATAGCAGACATGGGAAATGCATAGAAATATTTATTGTAAGTATATGCTGTTTTCTGGTAGGTTCCCTCAGCCAAGGAAAAGAAAGCACAACTGGAAGACAGACAAAGGATTACTGAACACTTTGCAGCCACCCTTCCCTTGCTGCTGGCAAAGGTAACACATGAGAACTCACATATTATGCACTCAAGTTACATCAGAGCAGCGTGGGAAGCATTTGTATTGCCCATGGGGTTCTCAACAGATAATTTAAGTATTTAGAGATCCGATCCAAGAAAAAGTGCATAATAAGTTTCTTAGAGCGTGAGTTACTAGTATAGTACATACTCTAACAATGTTATAGGGGATTCAAGTCAAGCTGAGCCATGTTTTTCGTGAGAGCAGAGGATGGCTAAACTAATTAAATGCATTCCATTTTGTGTTCATTTTCTCATATATGTTAATATACAGTATATGTACATCTGCGTAGCAACTCTTTCCCAGCCCCATTAGTTAAATATACACTATGTATGCTCTGCTTGTGCATATTTTCTGAGTGACAGCATGTTACATTTATTAAATGTTAGTCCACATACTGTATGACATAAGGTGCACAGCAGTGAGCGTGAAGCATTAGGGTTGATTTACTAAAGGCAAATAGGCTGTTCACTTTGCAAGGGAATTTTCCCTTAGGTTAGTGAATATGGTTAAAATTCACTTTGCAAATAATACCCAGTCATGGGCAAGGAAAATAAAAAACAGTATTTGTGCTTGCACATAATTGGATGATGGAAGCAAGCAGTGCTTTGCCTTATTCACTGAGCTAGGTGAAAATTACCTTGCAGAGTGAACATGCCCTACTCCTTTAGTAAACCAATACAATTGTGTTCTGTCAACTATGCCCTGTCCCACTGGGATTCATTTACTATTATTTATTAGTATTGTATTTCTAATGCATACCACTTGTGTTTGATTTAATTTGACAGTTTTCATCAGAACCCGATAAAATTATAAACCTTCTTCAAATCCCCCAATACTTTGATATGGAGTTTTATGCTGAAACACAAATGGAAAAGGTAAGTGTAAAATGTAATTATTTTTCTCTTATCTTCAGCCCTCAGATTACTCCATCGTTCTATCACTAGCGAAAACAGAAGGAGTGAGGACCCAAATCACCAGTAAACGTTTGATGATATGTCCACTTGATACTTTATTGCTTTAATTGTGAGCTCCACAGATGTCTATATTGACATTAAACTCTACTGACTCAAGTGTAACCAGGAAAAAGGCAGCGGTTATCTCATTCATGTGGCACAATGAGGCCTGGGGCCATTTTTTTCCAAGCTCAGCTTCCTGGTAAGGAAAAATCCCCCGCATGCCTAGTCCGACCTATACGCTAATCTCCTCCGTATTACAGCAAACTGACAAACCATCAATGGCATTAGCTACTTTTGGCACTATCATGCTAATCTTGCAGGAGTTGCTTCACAGCCAGGAGAGATGCTGTGATGTCAGCTAACAGCTAAAGTCCTTATTCTGGCATCTCACTGAGATGCTGAGAATGAAAGTCAAGGTGTGTGAGTGCAGTAGAAAATCTGCTTTTTTATGTACCTATGCTGGTTGCTATGCTGCTTATAAATCTGTATATTAATGGACTAGAGCATGTATTTCAGATGCATTAGTTTTATTAGATGCAGTTCTGCTTTTATTATTTAGATTCCTAGAATCTGCACTGCTTTACAGGCCTTGAAGTTGAGCTGAGTGTGGCCAATGCTGAAACAAAAACAATGTGGGAAGGCATTATGCTTTTATTGTACACTTTGGTGCCAAAATGTAGTTCAATTGCACTGCTATATAAAGGTGAATGTCTTAATAAATTAATATCTCATAATAGCAAATTTCTTTACAGCATTTGGAAGCCTTGTTAAAGCACATGGAACACATAGCCGCTAATCATTCAGAGGAAGAGGTGCTTCAGGTCTGTTCCAAGACATATAGCAGCCTGAGTAAAGAGAACCTGGCAAGCCTTAGCGTGGTCAGCCATTCCAAGAGACAACTGATTGATCATCTCCTCGACACTTTTAGCCAAATGCTGGATGATATTCTGCAGGAGGTAAGTTACAGGACACGTTTAATAGTGATATAAACAGTTAATTCAAGGTTTCATATTGGGGTAAGTAGTTTGCAAGGCTCCTTCTGTTTTTTTGTTGCCGATTTTTAAATAGTCAATCTATTATTTTTTGCTAGAAATGCTATGTATGTAATTACATATGCTAAC